CTTAGAATTGTTGGGGAAGAAAGATAGAGTGGTTATGCAATCGTAAAACCCATTAATTACATCAACAACTTTATGTAAAATAAGTACTACATTGGTTTGGCCTTTATAGATCCAATTATTTAACCTCAAATCTTAAGTGTTTGAGTAAGGTGGTCAGAGTTTCGAGATCTATCGTCATCGTGAACTCCACCAAAAAACGGCTTGATGGCCGTGCGTCACAATAATAATTAACGGGTATTATTAGTGATTGTTCCACATGCATAATTAGTTAGTGTTTGATGAAGAGGATGAAGATCGAATTTGATATGATGGGGCTGAGGTTAGTGGCAGGAAAATCGAATGCAGCCTCTGGTAAGAGAAGCCGTGCTGCCAAGATTTATAACGTACCCTCTTAGAATTGTTGGGGAAGAAAGATAGAGTGGTTATGCAATCGTAAAACCCATTAATTACATCAACAACTTTATGTAAAATAAGTACTACGTTGGTTCGGCCTATAGACCCAATTATTTAACCTCAAACCTTAAGTGTTTGGGTGAGGTGGTCAAAGTTTCGAGATCTATCATTATCGTGAATTCCACAAAAAAACGGCTTGATGGCCGTGCACCTCATTTGAGAGGTGGAATGTTCACCCAATCCAAGAACCAATTACTAATAACTAACTCATACTAACTTTCTAACCATTACTTTTGTAAAAAAAAAAAATACTACATTACCAATAAATTAAATAATTAAGTGATTATTTATTTTTAGTGAAAGTAAAAAATTTTAAATTCGAATCATATGATATGCGAATGAGGTGAAATAAGATTAATTCCTATTATATGACCAAAATATTAAAAAAAAAAAAAAAGGAAAAAAGCACTACATTGATCTTTAAACTTCTAACAACGACAACATCATGGGACGACACACCAAATTCTGATAAAAAAAAGGAACTGCTTTCCGTGGGTTACTAGGGTCTGAACTTTTCCATCTATTTTAATTAAACATGGTATTTGGGTTGGGCAGGTCTTGTGCTACTACAACATTGGGGCAGCCCAATCTTTAGATGCAAGGATTCCAATCCTTGAATTAAAGAACAAAAGGGACCAAATTGGACGTTCCTTGTTTGATCTCAACCAATCAACCGCGTGCTTTGCCAAAAACCTACATTAAGTTTTAAAATTTATTTTAGAGTTTTTATTAAATTCTTAAATTTTTATTGAAATAAATAAGTTTTTAAATTTGGATAATTTAACCATTTTTCTTTATGATAAATTTAATGTTTATTTATACCTTACTTTGGTAAACAATATCTTTACAAATCATTATCTACGTGATGAATATCAATTTTATCTACGTAAGTAAGGTACAAATGGACATTTAATCTGTTCTAAAAAAAATGGTTAAATTACTCAAATCATTAAATTTAGAGATTTATTTGCTTTAATAAAAGTCTAGGGACTTAATTGAAAATCTAAGGTAAGTTTAGGGGATTAAAGAAGAGTTTTGCCAACTGCATTCCACACCCCA